CAATCAAATACCTTGAGTGGGTCGTCTTTGGACCCTGATTTGGAGAAATAACTGTAAAAGGACAATTTCATGACATTGAGGAGCCTTGACTATGGAGTAGTGGGTGTTTTCAATATTAAGGAATTCTGTTGATTAAAATTATTATGGGTGTGAAAGTTATACAAAACTCAAAAAGTCCTCATTAGAAAATAAATTGGTAACTGCTGAAGATAGCTGAGGGATGTCTCTCCTACTTTGTGCGTTGGTTGGTTTGTTTCATTCATTCATTGTTGCACATTTTCTTCCCTCTCTCAGTCCACTTTGCCATGCCAGATCGTTGTCATATATGTCTACTACATTATTTTGGTTTGTCTATTTGATATGCCTCAGACAACTCCAAACCTGGGACAGTATTTTCACTAACTCTTTGTGCCATGAAAGAAATATCCTCTCCCTGTCCGGTATGATCACTACAGGCCATATAGGTGGCTCTGGAGCACTTGAGATGTGGATGGTGTAAGGAATGGAATTTTTCTTTTCACTTAATTTCAGGTAATTTAAATCCAATGTTAAAAGCCACATTGAGGGGGGAAGCCACACAGGGCTGGCGACTGCCACAGAGACTTATTTTCTAATGGCTTGGCAATGAGTTGATGAAATTTTTTAAAAATTTTTTATTATTATTATTATTTGTGTGTGTGTGTGTGTGTGTGTGTGTGTGTGTGTGTGTACCATCAAATCAGATCTGACTGGTACATGAGGAGATTGCCCCTCCTTCTCCAGCAGAGCATCTGGTGGATTCGAACTATAGACCTCTGGTATTGCAGTGGAGCTGATGAAATCATAAAGGCAGGTAGAAAATGATACTTGGGGGGAAAGGATGGATACAAGTATTTAAAATAGCTGGGCTTTGTCACTAGGCATAAAGAAGTAGCTGCTACTTTGTAAAAGGGAGAGGAATGTGGCCACTTTAATCTGAGGATTAAGGGACAGAGATTAGGGAGGATCTAGAAGCTTTTGTAATAGGGATCAGATCAAACACAGATGGGTGAGCGATGATACCGTATAAGCGGTTGGCACAGAGAGGGCTGACCCCTGAGCCAGGAGGCAATTACTCAGCAACAAAGCTGGCCTTGTCTTCTGCCCCTGCAGACACAGCTGGAGGCAAAGAGGATGTCCTTTTCTCATGTCCTCAATCTATGACACAGATGGAAGAAACAAAAACCAAAATACCAAACCAGACTGCAGCAAGTCAAGGGTGCTGATGCAGAAAAATCAGACAGGGCAAGAGGTCGAGGAAGTGGGGGAATTATTTGTGCTGAGGGGGTCAAGGAAGGTTTCTCTGAGAAGGGGACCTTTAACAAAGACCTGAATGACGTGATCGAAGACCTGAATGACGTGTGTGGATCTGCCCACACCACCAAAGCTCTCTCCAGCAGGGTCAGCAAACGTTTTTGTATAAGGTCAAATAGAGTGCTGGACTTGCTCTGTAAAAAACTATTGTAACTCTCTCCACTTTAGCACCTTCTCCTTCGAGACCTCTGAACCATGAGGACCGAGTGGAGGAAAAAGCGAGTGTGCAGAGTGAAGTGTAAAAGAAGGAAGAGGAGGCAGAGGTCCAAGTAAATGTTAGTGTGGGTACGCACAGACGCCACAGCGGCAGGAGTAGAGAATGCCACAGGCTGGGGACACTCAGACACACTTGACTGCAGACTCCTGTGCAGAACTTCTGACTCCAACGATCAAGAATTTCCATCGTCATTTGATACCATGAACACCTCTGAGAGGCCCTCCTTCCTCCTTCCAAACCAGCCCTTTTTTAATCTGTTGTCCTGGACCTGTGATCTCCTGGACTAAGTCTGCTTAGTTGTGGTTGGATGTAACAGGTACAGCAAGTCGGCTCTTCTGCTGTCTTAGATGAAGAATTAAAAACACAAACTAAGAGGGAGAGATCTAATAATTCAGAATCAGAGCTAACAATAATAAAATGGAAAACTCTCCTTGTTGTTAAGACCAACTCCCACCTGACCCTCCACTGAGTTTCTGAGGCTGTAAATTGCATGGGAGGAGATCGCCCATCTTTCTCCCAAGGAGCCACTGGTGGATTCGAACTTCCAAAGAGGCATAGTCTTTAGGGTAGCAGCGCAACTCTCTAAGAACTGCATCAGCAGAGCTCCCTAAAAATAATTTGCCAGGAGATGACTGTCTTTCCCAGGAAATTGTGTGCTCTGTCCATTACTGTGTGCTTAGAATCAGTAACTAATTAACTGTTGAACTGAATGAATGAAGATCCCATCCCCATTTCACAGATAAGGAAGCTGAGGCTCAGAGAGTTGCAGGAGTTTATCAAGGTCACAGAGACAAGAAGTGGCAGAGCTGAGATTTGAGCCCAGGTCCTCGTGGCTCCTAAGTCAGGTGGAACGATTTGTAGCTAGAAGCATAGGAAGGTTTTTGTCCACTGCAGAGTTACTTTATCATCAGGATGGGGATGCCAGAGTGTGCTAGACAAATGTTATTATTTTTTTTGGGGGTAAGCTATTACCTCTTTTTACAAGTGGGGAAGTCAAGGCTAAGAGTTAAGAACTGGCCCAGGGTCCCTCAAATCCCTCAGTCTCACCCGTGTGCGAGTCAGGCCGAGCCTCCTCCTCAAGGTCCTGGTCAGCCTCCTCCAGGAAATCTCCCAGCAGCCTCTTTGCCTCCCTGGCCTCAGCACCCTCTGGGGCTGCCCAGGCCAGAAAGGCACAGACACTGCCCAGGTCCCGGTGGGTAGGGGGGTCTCGGAAGTCCTGAGGATGGTCCCGAAGCCAGGAACCCAGCACAGACACCACGGCCCTGGCAAGAGGGGTGAGGCCTCAAAACTGTGCCCGAAGTTCCAGACCACTTCTGCCCCTAACTTCAGATTTGACCCCTGACCTGTCATTAGCCAACATGGGTTTTCAGTTATCCAGTCCTAGAGCCCTCAGGTCCGACCTTCGACCTCCAACTCTGCCCCCTCACCTCAGATTCTTGTTGAGGTTCAGATTTTGTTCCTCTGCCTTCTTGATTTCCACCCTGTGAAGAGACCCTTCATCAGATGGTAAAGAGGTGGTGTGAGCCTCTGAGTCTGAGGGGCGTCTGGGACTGGGTACTTGAAAGTCCAGGTAGATACTGACCCTGGCGGCAGTGGTGGTGGCGGCGGCGGCAGCAGAAAGCCCAGCACGCGGGCTGTGGGCACAAAGGCCCGGTGGGTGGCCAGGAAGGCGGGCACGAAGCCGGGGTCCTGCTCGTGGTCTCCGGACACCAGCTCGCGCACCAGCCGCTCCAGCCGCGCCGCCCTCAGCGCCCGCACCTTGCTGGTGCGGTAATGGAGGAAGGCGTCGGCCTGCAGGGGGGGAGGGACCCAGACCTGAGGGGCTGAGGGCCCCAGGCGGCTGGTGCCCAGGACACCCCTCTCGCCAACAGGGCCCTTGCATCTGATCCTCTCCCTCTGAAGGCGAGGCCCCTGGATCCCTCCTTTTACCCTATCCACAAAAGATCCCTACCCCACAATACCAGGCACCCTGTCCTCCCAGGCCCGCCTCTGCCGCCCCCTTACTGGGCCACCCCACATTCCCAGTCCCGCCCCTTTACCTGCAGCTGTAAGCCCCGCCCTTCCATCAGCCCCACCCCCCAAACTTGGCTGCACCCTCACCAGGCTGCCCGGCTGCCCCTGCGTCTTCCCCAGGTCCCCAGGCCTCGCCCTGCTCTCCTGGCCGCCCCCAGGGGCCTTCTTGTCCTCGCCTGGTCACCTTTAAGCCCCGCCTCTCTTCTAGCAGCCTTCGTCTGGCTACCTTAGACCCCGCTCGCACCAGGTGGCCCTCCCCCCCCATGCAGCTCCACCCTCACCTAGCCGCTTCGTTCTCCACCCCCTGCTCCCCTGGGCCCCGCACCGATCCCCGTCTCACCTGGTCACCCCACTCCCGGTTCACCTGGCCGCCCCAACCCCGACCCCCGGCTCACCTGGCTGTCCCCCGCCTGCTCCCCAGGCCTCGAGCGCTGGCTGCGCTGCCGCCTCAGGGCCACGCTGTACACAGCGTCGTCCTCGGTCTCCTCGCCCCAGTCCTGCAGCGGCGCCTGAGCGCGTAGGCCAGCTTAGAGCACCCCAGAAGGGGACAGGTCTCCAGACACCAGCGACCCCCCGCCCCTCACGGACTCATGCTCACTCCCTCCTACCCCCGAGGTCTCTGCGAACTTCTGGGCACAGAAGTCCCCTCTGCCCCGTCCTGAGGACACTGGGTGGTCCCTGGGGACGTCCTGTCAAGGCTCCCCGGATCAGTCTCCAGCCCCTTCCGCGGACTCGCTCGGAGTTCCCTGTCCCATTCCCAAAAACAACCAGACATTTCCAGGATGAGGGCCCTTGGGTCCGGAGATGGGGCCTCCCGTGAGGTCCCCAAAGGTTTGACGGGCGACTGAACAGAAGGATCTAAGTGCGGGGCTCTGGACTTTCTCGGCCTGGGGGTCGCCAAGGGATCCTGGGCCCGCGCCCCCTTACCAGCGCGAGCTCCTTGCCGGCTGACCGCTCCATGGCCCGCGCCCGTCCCGCTCTACGGCCCCTGACTGAGGCGGAAGGGCCGGCGGGCGGGGTGGGGGCGGGGCGGCGGCCCAGGGCGGGGTGCGGTGGGCGGGGCGGCCGGAGTGGGCTGGACCCCCACGCACTCGGCCAGGCCTGTGCGACCCCAGCCCGTGGCTGTGTATGAACCCATCCTCCGTAGAAAAAACCACTTTCCCTACTAGGGCTGAGCTCTGTTCTGGGTGCAGGGGAGCTAGAGTGTAGAGGGCCCCCAGTTACGTAGGGGGGCAGGTGGAGCCCGGCCCGAGGCCTCTGCCCTCACCTGCGGGATGGGACTAACTTGCCCCAGGAGTGGGAGCGGTTCCTCTCTTGGAGACAGAGCCTCGACCTGTGTGACCAGCTAGCGGATGGCCCCGTCCCTCCCCAGGCCCGGCTGCGTCTGGGACAAGTGCCTGGGGACACATTGGCCGGTCCTGGGTCCGACAACTGACTCCCACCACCCCCAGGAGTGTCGGAGCACAACTGTCCTCTGTGCTCCGGAGTGGCCGTTTCAGTCAGCGGTCAGGCCCATTAACAATTTGCATCACACAAGAGCTCCATGACCCGGTCAAGGAGAGGGAGTACCCAAGGGGCTGGTCGGTGACCTTTATTTCGAGATTCCAAGGCCGGAGGCCGGGCCTGGGAAGATTTACTGTGGGAACGTCCGGCCGGGCCCCTGTCCCCTCCTTCCTGCGTCGCCGGCTGGCTCCACAACCTGCCTCGGCCGGTCCAGCCCCCGATGGGGCCTCGGGGAGGAGGCGGGGGGCGGCGGCGGGGCCCAGCGGGGTTCGGAGGCACCAGGTGGCTGCGGGAGCCAGGCTAGGGCTTTCGCGCTCGGCTGCGCTTCCTGCTGCGGGATTCGATGAACTTCTGCGAGTGGATCTTGAGCGCCGCGCGGGTGGCCACGTGGTTGTCATCCTCCTCGCTGTCGTCCTCGTCTGCGGGGACGGGGTCGCAGTGAGGGACCCGCCAGCGCGCGGGCGCTGGCCCCCTCTCGGGCCCTCCTCCTGGCGCCCGCCTCTCTAGTCCCCTCCCCGCGCCCCCGCCCACCCCGGCCTTCAGACTGGCCTCCACCGCGCTCCCCGCCCCTCCCCCCTCCCCACCCCCACCCCCGCCCGCACTGACCGAAGAACTTGTCCTTGGAGCTGACAAGCGGCAGCGCGATGCGGGTGTTGTACAGGGGCAGCTTTCCCTCTAAGCTGGCGTAGAACTGAGTGGGGGGAGGCGCCGAGAGGAGTGTGGGCGGGGGCAGCAGGGTGATTCCCCTCCCCCCTCCCCCCATTGCCCAGCTTCATTCCACCCCAAGACCGCTGCCCTTAGCCTACTGTTTCATTATTTCCCCTGGGCCAGCCCTGCAACCTGTCCTTAGAGCCCACCTGACCCCAGGCCGCCCCTTCTCAGGCCCTCAGGCCCGGCCCTGGCTCCCCAGGCTCCGACCCTGGGCCTCTGATACCAGCCTCCCCGACCCCTAGTTCCCCCTCTGGTCTCCCTGGACCTGCCCCGAGGCTCCCTCGCCTCTGTCCTCCAAGTCTCTGGCCTCGTCCCTGGTCCCCCGAGGGGCGCCCTCGCGCCTGGCTCCCTGTTTGCTCGGCCCGGGCCCCTGGCCCCCTGAGCCCTGGCCCGTTGACGGCCTGGGCACCTCGTGACTGGCGATGTGCTCCAGCATCTCGTCCAGGTTGAGGCTCTCGAGCTGCTTTTGCAGTCTCATCAGCTTCTCCTCCACGATGCCCAGAAGGTTCGGTAGGTAGCTGGCCGTGTGGGGGTCCAGCTCCTTTTCCGCGTAGCTGCTATCCTCCTGCGGCCAGGGGCGGAGTCAGGACGGCCTAGAGGGTCGGGGCTTTCCCTCCCTGGGACCAGACTTCAAGGTGTGGGCCCATTAGTGAAGGGAGATGTAGGCTCACCTGTGGGGGCGGGATCTCCGAGGGGAGGGCCCACCTGTGGGGACGTGCCAACCTATAGGGGCAGGGCCGCGGTGGGGCTGGGTGTATCCTATGTGGGGCAGGGCCTTCGGTCCAAGGCCACATGCGTGAAGGTTGTTGTTGCTGTTGTTATGTGCCATCGAGTCGCTTGCGACTCATAGTGACCCTATGTACAACAGCTCTAAACCCTGCTCTGTCCTGTGCCAATCGCACTGCCTCTGACACACCCATCCCGATCACCCCAGTCACTGAATCAATCCACCTCATCGAGGGTCTTCCTCTCCTGTGCTGTCCCTCCACCCTCCCAAGCATGATGTCCCTCTCCAAGGACCCGTCCCTCCTTGCAACATGTCCCAAGTATGTCGGACGGACGAAGCCTCAGAATCCTTGCCTCCAAGGAGCAGCCCGGTTTAACCCTCTCCAGGATGAATCTGTTTGTTTTCCTGGTAGGCCATGGTACATTCAATACTTTTCTCCAGCGCCACAGCTCAAAGGCACCAATTCTCCTATCTTCCCTAGTCATTGTCTAACTCTCTGCTGCATAACAACTGATTGCAAAGACCAAGGCCTGTATCAGGCGCACCTTAGTCTCCAGAGTGATCTCATTGCTCTTCAGCTCTTTGGAGAGGTCCCTAACAGCAGACTTCCCCATCGCAATATGTCTTTTAATTTCCTGGCTGCTGGTGTCAAGAGTGTTGACTGTGAAGCCAAGCAGACTAAAGCTGTGAACAATCTCAGTCTCTTCCAGAGAGCAGGAAGGTCTCTCTCACCTGAGGGACACAGGAAATGGGCCTCTGCTCTGGGTGGGGGAAGGCTTCTGTCTTGGGACGCTCTCGCATTGGAGCGTGGTCTGTGAGTTTCCGGTAGGGTCTTTGGCTTGGGTTGGCACACCACTCCCTACATCCCTACAGACTACACCGCCAGGGATCCCCTGGGTGGGACTTGTAGCAAGGGTAAGTTTGAGACCAAGCAGGGACTCAGAAGTCGTCGGGCCAGACACGCAGGGGGCGGGACGGGGTGGCACCTACCACAGTGATGTAGAGTAGCTTGCCCACCAGGTGCTCAAGGCCCGCCCTGACCACCTGCAGAGCGCGCCCCGTGCGCTCCAGCTGCTCACGCGCCTCGGCGCGCCGCTGCTCCTCCTCCTTGAGTCGCTCCTGCAGCTGGGCCTGCAGCTTCTGCTCGCTGAGGGGCGCGAGACGGGCCGCCATGGGAGAGGCCCGACGCCCAGGCCCCCGCGCCCTCCTTCCTCTTCCTCCTTCCATCCGAACCTCACCTCACCAGCGTGGCCTCCCCCGAGTACTTGAGACCTTCGAGCTCCCGCTTCAGCTCCTGCCTCTCCTGCTTCAGCTTCACCAGCACCTCCTCGTTCTCCTTCTTGAACTTCTCCAGCTGCGTGAAGGTGTCGCCCTGGGCCAGGAACCTCCGCACCACGGACTGCGGGCGGCCCAGCCCCCAGTCAGAGCGGGACCTCGAAAGTGGGACACGTTGCTTAAACGGGGGACTTTCTGCACAGCATCCTTTGAACTAAATACACAAGACCCACCCGCGTGCGAAGGACTCAGGGCCTTTTCTCGTCTCAGGAATTGGAGTCACCCAAGTGGGTGTTGGAAACAGTGTCACTGTGGTGGTGAGGGCAGCTGCCTTTCTAAACCATCCTGCCAGCCACATTCTTGCCCGGTTTCGCCTAGTCCTTGAGAACAGATAGCACACACCATCCAGGTGAGTGATCTGCTCACCAGGCCACCCTTCTGGAAAGAGGCCTAGCCACGGTGCCCCAAGGCGACCCCTGAATCCCGGAGCTTCTTGGAAGCAACCTCATGCAGTGACTGAGGGATACAGGTTGTTGGTTGTGGTTGTCGTTGTCATGTGCCATCGAGTCAGAACTGACTCATAGCTGACCCTCCAGTGGGTTTTCAGAGGCAGTTAGTTAATCACACAGGAGGAGATTGCCCGTCCTTCTCCCGCCAAACACCTGTGGATTTGAATTGTATGCCTTTGGGACTATAGAGAGGCTTCTTACAACTAGGCCACCAGAGCACCTTATAAGAGCTGGAAAACACTCAAAGCGGAGAAAGAGGACCAGCCAGGTGTGGCCCAGACACCCAGAGGGGGCTCTTAGCTATTTTGAGAAGATGCTGCAAAGTTGGGGACCCTAGGCAGAAGACCTGCTTGTCCAACAAGCTGGCACAGTGGTACCAGGTGTCTACAGCATTGCCAGGATATGTGCCAGGTGCTGGAAGTAGAGTGGACATCCTCCCAGTCTCTGGGAAGCTCACATTCCATGCTGGTACCCAGTATAGATGAAGGGTGGCTGAAGAATGAGGCAGTGGCAGGGATGGAGGGAGATGTCTTTTAAGAAGAGAGCAGGCTTGTATAGGGCAGGGGAGGGGTGTGAGCTTCCTGGAGGGACTCCCCTACACGTAGGACTTGTGGGCCTGGGTGGGCCCAGTTGTGGGACATCTGGGCTGGGAGGGCTGCAGGCAGCACTCACGTTTGAGTCGGCCACACCTGTGGCGTCCTTGACCTTGTTGAACATCCCTTCTGTCTGATGCATGTTCCAGCGGTGCCGCAGCTCTGCAGTCTTGGTGGGATAACCATCCAGGGTCACATCCTCTGACTGCAGCAGCACATGCTCTCGATGAGTCTGCTTGGTGGGTCAAAGTCAGGGCTGAAGTCAGCACCTGGCCCCAGAGCCTGGGGAAGGGTGAGTGGATTCTTGGGCGGGGAGAGGGCAGGGACTGAGGGGTGTTGTCTAGAGGGACTACTGTGGTGAGGAAAGGGCTAAATACAGGTAGGAGTCAGGGACAGGCTGGGATCAGGGACAGGAGGGAGTCAGGGACAGGCTGTGGTCAGGGACAGGAGGGAGTCAGGGACAGGCTG